AATAAGTCTTTTGTGCCTCATGAGCTATGTCTCATGTGTTATGGGTCTCAACTACAGAATCTACTGTGACTTTAAACTATGCACATTTCTTCATCTGTGTCAATTTCATTTCAGATGCATGTAGAGATTGTCTCATAGAGTGATAACAATCATTTCTAGTCTTTTAAATTGAATCATCCTGATTGAAATAAACCATCTCCACTAAAATGTCTGATATCCAACACTTTTCATGGGACAGAGAATAATGAATCTGCACTATGCATCAGTGGTGCAGAAACACAACCAGTGATTGAACTGCTGAGTCAAATTCAGTGCACGAGCCTTTGCAAACACAAAGTATAAAAAATACACACATGTTGTATTAACCATTAACCTAGAAACATCTCATCTACACTGTCCAACAGTATATGTAAGGACAAGTTCTTCAAGATTTAATGAGGACAGAAATTAACTTTTAGAATCAAGTTTGATGTACTCAGCTCCTTTATAGAGCAACGTAATGAATACCAGTTGTTACCCTCTGTTTTGGATCAGACTGGTTGATCTGTCCTTGATAATATGTGTAATGTTGCATTATTATTTATTTAAAGTTTAAAAACTGATTTTTGATACTGATTGCAGCTTGTGGTTTCAAACTCAATTTTAACACACAGCAAAGCAAATGATAGATCAATGAATGATGAGTCATACCGCCTCATTGTGTTTACACAATGCATACGCATACGATATATATTGAAACTTTGTTGTATTGCTATTGATTGAAAATGATGTTGTGATAGTTATTGATACTGTTTTATTCCCCAGCCCGAAAACATAATATTAAATTGAACGCACGTCTACCAGAGTAGATGCTAACACCAGCACCAACACTGCAGGAATCAGAAATGTTTAATGTAACATTAAATTTGACACAACTAAAGTGAACCATTTCTTGTCACATTTTACAAATCATCTATACCATTTAATGCTTGTCATGAAATTACTGCTGAGATTAAATCTATTCTTCCATTATCTATTCCAAATATCAATAAGGAATTGGAACCAATAACCTGCTGACATTGTGCAAGAGGCAGGGCACACCCTGGACAGGTTGGCCAACCCATCACATGGCCAACATAAAGAGATAAACAACCATTAATGCTCACATTCAAACCTACAGTCAATTTAAAAATCTCCAATTAATCTAACGACAATCTTCATGTCTTTGGACTGTGGGAGGATGCTGGATTACCCAGAGTAAACCCACGCAAACACAGAGAGAACATAAACTCCACACAGAGAGACCCTGGCTCAACCAAGAACCTTCTCCCTGTGAGTGCTAACCACAGCAGCACTGTGCCTTGAGGTTAAATTATAGGATTCATTTCACTGGTGGTTTCACTGTTTCAAATATGCTCACTGTGTGATATCGTTAATGGCCCACCGACTTTTCTCTGCTGTGCTCATTAGTGAAACACACAATAAGACAGTAAATGTGATACGTGTGCACCGTCATAGTTTAGAGTACACAAGTGCAGCCTTTTGTTAGAATGCACCACATATTGTTTACATAATGCAGTAGACATTGAAGCCCGTATCTTTCTCCTCCATCAAGTGAAGTGATAAAGTGCCTCTGACATGTGATGATCTTACTGTAAATGAGGTTATAAAGACAACGTCCGCCCCATTTGACTGTAACTGTTGCACATAACTGTTTAAAGAACACAATATAGTCGTTGTTGGAATAAAAAAATGAACAACTGAAGACAAAGACAGGAAGGACAGTAAGACAAACTTTCTGAAAACATAAAATACCACAAACCTTGATATGATGTTCACCCGACAAGGTCAACCTGTGGCGACAAACCTCTACAAAAGGTCTGCATCATTCTGTCACTCTGTTCCCAACTCACACACAACTTGAGATATGCAGCGACACTTTGAAGCTTCAAATAGGCCCACTTCAATTTATCTGCAACCTGTCGGCATCATGACCTTGTCCTGGCTAACCTAAAATGGACGCATCTGTTTCCACCAACTCTCGCTGGAACAGAGCGTCATCACAGTAGTTTGGCGTTTGTTGTTTTTAACTGTGGCCTGCCGATGAGCATCAAGTGACGACTGACCCACCTACATGAAACCTACAGACTCAGACTTTTATATTTAATGTACATTAACATTTCTTTGCTGATAGTTGGGTGAGGTAAGAGGAGTTTTTTTTGTGGATTTCACTTTATTGTGCACAACTTCCAAATAAAACATAAAGTAAAGCTACTGCAAATCAGTAGCTTTACTTTATGTGTTGACGAAATGTTGACAAATCAGCCATATTTCCACTGACATTTAAAGACTAATTCAATTATCAATGAAAACTTCTATTATTTTAAATAATTGATTGAGGAGTGACGACATTTTTAAGAGAAAATCTCTCTGGGTGCAGCTTCTTAGATGTGAATATTATCTGGTTCATTGAATCTGCTTTGATAGTATTCTGGATATCTTGAGGCTTTAGTCAGACAAAGAGCTAATAGAAAATAATCAACAAATCATTCGACAGAAAATTACTTAAATGCAGCCTGCCATGTACGTTTTACTTTACTTATATACAGTAAATGATACCACACTGCCAGGGGATCTGTGAGTTTCCAATACCATCCATTAAAATTATTCGGATATATTGGTATCGGTATTTTTATATACATGTCTAATATCTTATTAAGAAATTCACCTTGTGTCGTTCTTTCACAAAACTAAGTAAGTGTAAAAAATAGGCTATGTCAAATTATTCTAAGGAACATACATGATGAGGTCCCTGGAATACTTTGTAGGGGAGAAAACAATTTCTGAACCTCTGAACTACATATACTACAGCTTATTGGCCCAACAGGCCAACAACTGAGCTGCAAAGCAATACAAAGTAAAAAGAGTATTTCAAACATAATTGCTGGTTAGGAGGATGACATGCATTAATCAGCATGATCTAAAATAACAAATACTTTTAAACATACATGTGTGCGGAGTGATCACACCTCAGTATCTGTGGGCTCCTGAGGGACCAACACACTCAAAGCTCTCAAGTGCTCACAGCTAATGCCTGCTGCCTCTTACAGAATAGACTAGAGGCTTGTTCAGGGCGTTGGCGAAATAACTGATGATACAGTCTCTATTTTTTTCTAATATAGGCTACGAGCTGCATGGCTACAGTGTGTGGTTACAGTCCTGGTTAGAAAGCATAAAAACAGACAGAATGATCTCTAATTGAGAGCAATCTAATAAGAATGTTGATAATCATGCAAGCAGGAAGTCGACTGAGATGGAGTGTGGGCTCATAATTGCTGCCATACCCCATTAACTTCTGTAATATTCTGGCCCATTATTTGCACTACAGTATTTGCTAATATCAGATTATTATTCAAATATGATATTACAACACTGCTTACCATAAGACCTGACATTTAACAATATGATCAAATTCGAGTTAGAAAGAATCATATTTGTCAAGTGTAAAACCACTCAAGGATTTATAGATAGATAGATAGATGGATAGATAGATAGATAGATAGAT